CCCAGAACCGGAATCAGAACCATTGTTACAGGTTCTGGTTCTGGATACCTAGGAACCGGAACCGTCGGTTCCGGTTCTGATTCCAAATTTCAAGGAACCATCGGTTCTGGTTCCGATTCTGATTCTTTCAAAAAGTGCAGGGTATCCAGAACCGAACACCCCTACTAATTAGGCAAGAGTTGAGGCGGAGAAGTAGAGGAAGTCATGTTACCATCAACCCGACCACATTAACTATGTCTTTTGTGTGTTTTTAATGTTTCCCCAATAACATGCTTTACTCATCATCAAACATCATTTATCATTTTTATTTATAAATAGGAAAGTGTTAAGCTGATATGTACAAATTTAACCTTTAGTAAAATAAAATTATTTTTTGCTCCTAAGCCTTGTTTTTTGGAGGGAAAACAATTCACACTATTGACATTATGAAAGGATGAGAAAGAAATAATTATTATTTCAAAGTTTCCAAGAATAGAAGTTGAAAAGTAGGAATTAATTTATTGGAAAGTTGGAATGTAAGAATTAATTTATTGTAATAATTAAATTGCTTTATAAAAAAAAAAAAAAAAATGTAAAGGTACACCGTATTATCACCCAAAGTTGCAATTGTAATCCTTATTGCAAGTACTATAATTCAAATGTCTAACTTATTGCTTCTTCATAAGATGCGTAACTTATTGCTTTAATGTAGATGGTCTAACAACTTATACTTTATGCAATTAAATAAAAATAATTTAAGATTAGTAAATCTTGATCAGTGTGATTTGCCTGCAGAAAGAGTAGCCCAGTCAAGAAAAATCAAAGAGTCCGACCTGAAAAACTAATTAAACATGGTTTTGTTATCAAAAAACAAACAATAGATAAAATCATAATTTTAGTACACCGACGGACATTGGAACTATGACATATATGAAATCTGGTCAATTGAAATGATTTTCATTACTTACTTGAGGCACAGGAAAATTTAAACATAAACAACCTACTAGATGCCAACTACCAACCAAAAAAAGGACTTTCATGTCAGATTACTGACAAAGCAAATCGTAAGGTCCAACACTTTATAATACATCAGAACGTTTTATACAAAATGTACTCCTTAGTATTTAGAGTTTAAACCATACAAGCAAACGGAGAGACTGGACAAATTAATCATAATCAACAATTCAAGAGTCTTACTTAGTAGATACTTCGACAGTTGTTTTAGTAGAAAAAAAATCCCAAAATAAGGGAGGAAAATCACATCATTATAAACCTCAATTTCAGTCACCCCTAATAACACTACATGAATTCACACATAATAAGAGGAGAGACTATAGGACAATTTATCCAACTTAACCTCTAAAATTACAAACCACCAATATACAAGAGCATCAGCAGAACGAATCCAATCATTTTTTCTTTATTCCTTTCCAATTCTGGCAACAAAACCGCATAGTAGAAGTGTGGTCGGTATTGATTATAGAGCTAACAAAATGTAACAAATTTCAACTTGTGGCAAATTATAACTAAATTGACATTAACTTTTGAATTTACATTAAAGCCTAGACCACTATGCATTTATGAAGAGCAAGTGATTTTCCTGCAATAGAATATAGATTTTGTTTGACATTGAATTTTTATCACAAATATCTTGATTATAATTAAACTTATAATTGTTGGCATGAATTACATATATAATAACTCTTATCATATAATTAAATAAAAATATTAGATTCGTTCTTGGTAACAAATCTAATAGTTTACAACAAATCCAAAATTTTGAAAATATCTCATAGAAATTTGATTTACAGACTTAATGAAGAGAGAGAACCATTATCTCTCTCATCATTAAATCACTTTTTTAGTTCATAATTCATCAAGGGCAAATATTGTTAGTGTATGCCCTAGGAACCAATTGTGTTGTCGATTCCAGGGTATTATGTTTTATATATATATGTTCATGTATTTTGTATATACATTTTTATCTTATTAATAAAAAAAAGTGTTCTTATTTCACATGTAACTTATTGCTTTATATATATATATAACATGTGAAATGACTAGATGATATAAATCTTTAGAAAATTAAAATCATAAAAGTATTCCCTACATAGGTAATATTAATTAGATAATACATAGTAGACATGCTGAATGTCTTCGTTGAATATCCTGTGATGATATTAGTATATGTAATTATAAAAGTTATATCACTATGATATTAGCTTGAAAGGTTACTTGAAAGGTTGTTTCATGGTGACACGTTCAGTGTGTATTGATTGTCAATTTGATATAAGATTAAGACAAGGATTTTGACATACCATGAATTAATTCTTAATTGAGATTAGACAAAAGAAGAATTTAATTAAGCAACACATATGATTATAAAAGAGTTCGTTGGAGTATATCTTTACTGTGACTTAGGAGTTATGGAAAATTGGTAGATGCCTACCATATTTGATGGGAGTTTCGGTCATAAAGAATTATGACGAAACATATCGGAATAGACAACGATATTAGGTCTACAGCTAAGTCACAGTGAACCTAAGAGGCCACACATAAAAAACTAAGGAGAATGGAGAAATAGCTAAAGAGAATTGGTTATCCAAGATTGGCTAGCTTACCAAGGTAATAAAGACATTTATATTATCATCATTGAATTAGACCCAATGGAGGGTTATATTTGTAATTATGAACAATTTAAAAGATTAAATTGTTAAATGAAATTAAGTGTAATTCTAAGTTCATAATTAATTATTTTCTTTATATTAAATTAGATTTAATAGTGGGTTGTAATTGTAAATATATAAACAATTTAAGAGTTAAATTGTTAATTATGATTAAATGTTAATCTAATGTTATTATTTAAAAAAGTTTAATAACTTCGTAATAATTTTGGAATTATTTACAACTCCAAAACAATTATAGAATTTTTTAAAGAAGTTCAAAACAATTATTGAATTGTTTACAAGGCTATATATATAAAGAAAATGATATATCAATTTTAGGGTAGAGATAAAAAATTCCTGAGAACTTTAAATATCTCTTTTGACCTAATTCTTCTTTTACCTTAGGGTGGATACTCTTTTGTTTAATTTTTCTTGAAATTAAAAGTCTTTAAGGTTACTAAAGACTTAAGGTAACAAGGTATACCTTACTTGTTTTCAATTTGATTGAAAATTTATGCAAAATAATAATATATATACTATAGTATCACATGTATCATTCTTCGTGCATTCTAACTTTCAAATATGTTTTTTTATACATAGATTATCCTATAAAAAGTCAAATAGATCTCTATTTTATCCGGATAAATTAATCCAACAAGCATTTTTGTTATAAATATATCATTTGAAAGTTTGTTTGTTTGTTTTAGAGGATGATGGTTAAAGCTGTCATTAATTGATTGATAAACATGTAATCTGACGAATGGAATTGTGTTGCAACCTGTGAGTAAGTGGTTGTCCAATATCATTTATCAAATAAACAAGTTCCAATTTCAAAAGCGCTTTTATAATGGGCTTACCTAAAAGGCTGTTTGGGTTATTAAAAACAAAAAAAAAAAAAAAAAAACTCCACCCAGTTTATCAATATCCTCCTGTACTAGTTAATAGTTATACATCTTTTATTTATTTTTTATTTTTTTAAAAGTTTCTTATTGATATAAAAAATAACCTCAAAGTTTAATTAGGTCTTTTTGTTTTACACGTCTTTTCCCTATTTCAAACTTGATGTATGAGTGTATTTATATTTAATATCGCCATTTCTAGTAATTTTCATTAAAACTAAACTTGTTAAAATTAAAAAAAAATAAAAATAAAAATTTAAAAGTAGGGCAATTTGATAAATTAGATGGAAGCTAAAAATCACTTCCTAGAAATAAGAATTACTTCCATAGACCCATAAATATATTCATATTTGTTTCATAGAGTATTTCTTTTATTTGAAAAGTGATTTTTAACCCTATTTATTTAATAATTGGTTATCACTTTTTATTAAAAAAAAAAATATGGATACACAATAAATTTCGAAAATATTTAATTAAGAAAAACTGGTTTTAGATGATATTAATTAGAATTCGGTGTTCATAATCTTTATCACAAACGGTTTGTGAAGCAAACTAACAACCAAGTGAATTCTTAAATTAATATATTTATGTTTAACAATTTTTTTATTTTCTTCTAGACGCCATCTCCCAACTGCCATAGCACAGACGGTCCTTCATAAATATATGCCAGAACTATCCAATTCAAAAATCACAAATCCTCTTTTATGAATATGTGTTTCATTCCTTTATGAAAAATCATACACATTGTTGATTGTTTATGATAAAAGGTCGGGGGCTAATGATAATATAAGTGGGATTAGAAAATCTCAACACTTAACTATTAGTTTTGGATTATATTAGTTTTGTTGATATAATAATGGGTGCTGTAAAAAAGGTTTTTTGCACAAATAGATAAGACATTTATTGTTATAATAAAAAAAAGCACATCTATTGTTACCTTAGGTATTTAACATATGGAACATTTTTTCTATCACCATACCAGAAGCTTTACAATTAACTTATGTTTTCACCTCGATTGAAGGCTTTAATTTTAAATTTGAAAACACTGGGATATAAAGGTAAAATGGGGAGAAGAACCTGAGAGCTTGGCATTTCTCACAACTAAAACTGTCTTAAACAAAATATGACTAAATTTGGTAGCGAAACGGAGCAAGCTTGAAGGGTTTCATGTGGAAAATACGCCACAAAAACAACCAAGTGTCAAAAGGAACAAGAAAAGCTAAAACGATAATTCATTGAAGACTTGAAGGAAACTCAATCATATAACCCATTCAAACTCAATTCTACTAAAAACAAGGTCATATAATACACAGGATCATATCGATCATAGAAAAAGGATCAATTTTGTACTGCAGGGCAGGCTGCAAGCGTGAAACACCAATAATCAATGTAGGCAATTTTAGCAGTACATATAGCCAATGATAAAACTACGGTCAGAGTATAAAAACAGGGAAAAGTAACTTGTTGCCGCAAACTATAAGCTCTGGGTTGAAAAAAAATGTCCCAATTTCGAGATGATGATACAACTCTTGATTATGTAAACATTTTGGTTTATAATTAGAATTTGAGCTCAGTTTGAATTAATTTCAGCTACAATCCTTTTCAAATAAAAAGGGATGCTGCAAATGTTAAAAGAAATAAAATTTATAACGTAAACCCTTCACCGATATCTCATATATGTCACTCGCCTTTAGCCACCAAAGATTCAAGTTTTTGCAACCAGTTCACATATTGGCCTTGCTCCTTTTTATGCAAGTGGAGGAGAAGGAAGTTGGTTAGACTTTCTCCAATTCCTCTGGCAACTAGATATTCCTTGAGCGCACCTTGTAACTGACGGTCCAAAGTGCTGCAATTAATAAGACAAACATGTGAGTCTCCGAACAATATCACTTGAAGACGATGTTTAATTAAAATAAAAAAGTTATTTCATGTGAGTTACAGAAACCAACACAAAGATTAAATGATCATAACACGGCTGGGTCAGTTATTACACACACAGAAGAAAGTAACATGTCTGCAGTGACATTAAAGAAAGAAATCAAAATGGAGCGCTGATAGAAACCCAAAGGCTTCTACTGCAAAAGTTCACTCACAGACCACCACCCAGATCACTATGAACTCCAATGGTCACTAGCCCAGAATTTCCAGTCACACAAGAACAGTTTTAATACTTCACACAATTGAAAACACAAGCAATGCTGAGTAATTTCAATATCTATATTTAATAACAACTTTGTGACATTCCTATTCGAATAACCAATCATCCACAACTAAAATTAAACATAATCAAAAGGTAAACATAAACCAGCTCATCTAAGATGAGTCTGCATACAATAAAGAAACCCGCTGCACTTCGAGGGCCAGCACCTCCCCAACCCCTTTTCCTTTTACAAAATCGATGATGATGAAAGATCATTCCCATTGCTTTTTATTCTTCGTACTCTCTTGATATAACTGAATTCAGCTCCCCAACAAATCAGCATTTGCACTTGTCACTCTCCCATAAACCCAATACCACCCACCATCACGCATATAACCTGACCTTAGTCCCTCATCCCCCTTTTTACACCTTTATTTTTCCTCCCATATACTAAAATGTTGTTGGTCTCATTATTACCTGTGATGAAATCCATCGATATGTCTTCCCACACTTGATTTGGAATGGGTAACGGTTGCAACAGCCCAGTCGGACTCAAAGCCTGATATTTATTCTTTTGGCAAACCTCACATGCTTCAACAAATGTGCGGATATCTTTCTTCATACCCTCCCAATACACTACATTGGCCAAGAGTTTATAAGTGCGAAAAAAACCTGAATGTCCTCCAATGGGAGATAAGTGAAACTCTTGTAATAAGGTCTGAATATGAGCCCCTGTGCGTGGCATGACCAACCTGTCATGGTACATCAATTGGTTCCCCACTAGTTTATAAGGTAGTCGGCTAGCTGGGTGAATAAGCAGCTTTTGAACTATTTTCCTCAACTTGGCATCCTGGTGGACCGCATTTTCCAGATCCTTTATGCCTACAAAACAGCCTATTGATAAAATATTAAGTAGCCCAACCTCAAGCCTTCTAGAAAGTGCGTCAGCCACCTTATTCTCCTGACCAGGTTTATATTGAATGTCAAAGCGGAGCCCCATCAGTTTCATCACCCACTTTTGCTGGTCCTCACTCAACAACCTCTGTTCATTTAGGAAGTGTAAACTCCTTTGATCCGTTTTTATCACAAAATGTTTGCCTAATAAATAGTGCCGCCATTTCTAGATTGCCATGACCATGGCCATAAGCTCCCTCTCATACACTGACTTAAGTCTGGACTGTAACGACAACCCTTTACTCAAGAATGCCAATGGCCTGCCTTCTTGCATCAGAACAACCCCTAAACCATGTCCTGACGCATCTATCTCAATCACGAATTCCTTGGAAAAATCTGGCATAGCTAAAACTAGTACTAAAGTCATGATCTGCTTCAATTCTTCGAATGCCCTCTGTGCGTCACTGTTCCATTTAAATGAGTCTTCCTTTAATAGTGCAATTAGAGGAATCGCAATTTTTCCATACCCATTGACAAATCGTCGATAATACCCTGTCAAGCCAAGGAATCCCCAAAGAGTTCTTAAATCTTTTGGAACTGGCCATTGAAGAATACTGTCAATTTTGGAAGAGTCAATTGCTATTCCTTCCGACAATATAATGTGCCCTAGATACTCGAGTTTTTGCTGCCCAAAGAAACATTTTTCGTGGTTGGCAACTAACTGATTCTCGTGAAGTGTTTGCAGGGTGATCATTAAGTATTGCACATGCTCTTCCATGGTCGTACTATACACGAGAATGTCATCAAAAAACACCAAAATAAACTTCCTCAAGTATGGCGAAAAATATCATTCATTAGTGCTTAGAAAGTTACCAGCGCGTTGGTTAATCCGAAGGGCATGACTAGGAATTCATAATGCCCTTCATGGGTCCTAAAGGAAGTCTTAAGGGTGTCTTCCTCTCTCACTCTGATTTGGTGGTACCCCGATTTCAAATCCAATTTGAAGAAGACTGTAGCCCCCCCCCCCCCCCCCCCCCCCCCCCCCCCACCCCTCAAAAAAAATAAAAATAAAAAATTCATCAAATAACTCATCCACCGCGGGGATTGGAAATTTGTCCGGAACTGTTAATTTCTTTAAAGCTCGATAGTCGACACAAAACCTCTATCCGCCATCTTTCTTCTTGACAAGTAACACTGGACTAGAAAATGGGCTTACACTCGGTTTGATAATGCCTGAAGCTAACATTTCTCTGACAATTCGCTCGATCTCATTTTTTGGGTAGTAGGGATAGCAGTAAGGTCCGATATTTGGTGGTTGGGCGTTGGGTAAGAGCCGAATGGCGTATTCATGGTTCCTAATGGGGGGTAATCCAGCTAAGGGTTTAAAAACCGACTGAAACAGCTCCAATAATTTCAGCAGTCTATTGTCCATGTCGTCCCCATCATCTGGCTGTTTTTGCAAGGAGCCAAATTCCATTGGATAGCCCTTCCTTCTGTGTTGTCTTTAACATTGCTTTCAAGGATACCAACGTCTTGCTCAATGCCGAATCCCCACAGAGTGTCACAGTTTTGCCCTTATCCTTTAATCTCATTACTTGGTTCTTCCAATCTATCGTTGTTTCCCCCGGCGTCTCTAACCAAGCCATGCCCAACACCACATCCGAGCTGTTCATGTTGAATGGGAAAAAATCCAACACAGCTGAGACTCCCTGAAGATCAATACAAATTTCTCGGCACTCACCCTCACTTCTCACCCGATAACCATCCCTTACTCACTCCAAATGACTGCGTCCCAGTGATAGGAAATTTTAATTTCTCAACTACTCCTCTACTAATAAAATTATGAGACACTCCACTATCAATCAAAAGTCAAAACAATTAATTCCGTATCCTGAATCTTACCCTTTAATTTCATGGTTCTTGGTCCGTTGATCTCGACTACAGAACTGAGTGACAACTCAACGTCATCCTAGGTAGCTTCCTCAGATTCCTCGTTCGTTTCTCCCACCCTAACAAGCTCGGTTTCTTCCTCCTCTTCATCCACGAGGATGACTTGAAATTGTCTTTCTCCACAACGGTGACCAGGAAATTTTTTTTGCATCACACCTAAAGCACAAACCTCTCTCTTTTTTCTTCTGGATCTCATTCTCAATCATGTGTTTAAAGGGAAACTCTCTGCGATTAGAAAGACTCTGCTCTATGGGTTGATTCACCATGGAGCTGCTACCTCTTTGGCTGTTGGTTGGGTTAGCATTTGGGAATTGTCGCTGTTGATCCTACGGAATGCTTGATTTGGGTGTATTTGTGAATAAGGGCTGGTAGATTTGCGACCTAAACCCATTGCTATTGAATCCTAATTGGCGACCCGAACCCATCCCAAAGGAACTGACGCCTCTATTTGTTCCATTAAACCCACCAAATCGTGTCCCTTTATTCAGCCCATTTTTAATTTCATCTAAAGCCCAATTTTTTTCTTCAATCTTTTGGGCTAACTTTATCAATTGGACCAAAGTTTCAAGCCTACCCAACCTTACCTCAGCTTTGATCTCGGGTTTAAGCCCATTAATAAAAGCAACCCACAAAATGTCTTCCCTAACCTCACGTAATGGAGCAGATGTTGCCTCAAACTTACGACGATATTCCTCAACAATTCCTGATTATTTGATCGCCATTAGAGCTTCGTAAGGACCTTCCTCTTGAGACCCACTGAACCTATGGATAAGAACGAGTTTGAAAGTGGCCCACGAATTCAACAGGGCTTGAACTTCCATCCATTGAAACCAATTCACAGGGTCACCTTTCATGCATACCGCAATTGTGTTTAATCGATCTTCCTCCTCTGTGATTCTATACACGCTGAAGTACCTCTCGATCCTAAATAGCCAACCATATGGATCATCTCCTGAAAAAAGCGGTATATCCAGTTTTCGACCACCATACTCTGGTCTTCCTCACCCATGATTATCGTGATTGTCATTTCCCCCTCCCTGGTTTAGATCGTTCCTCCCATGTAATTCAGCCGATCCACTCCATTCTCCCCTTCTAGCTTCTTCTTTATCTTTTCGTCTCATCCACGCTTGCATATCCACCAGACAATCTCTGATCGTACCCAATTCTCTTTCAATATTATCAACCCTATTCTCCATTCTAGTACCAAATATAAGCTTACTTTGATACCACTTTGATAGAAACCCGAGGCTTCTCCTGCAAAAGTTTACTCACAGACCACCACCCAGATCACTCTGAACTCCAATTGTCACTAGCCCAGAATTTCCAATCACACAAGAACAATTTTAACACTTCACACAATTGAAAACACCAGCAATGCTGAGTAATCTCAATATCTATATTTAATACAACTTTGTGACATTCCTAATCGAATAACAAATCATCCACAACTAAAATTAAACATAATCAAAAGGTAAGCATAAACCCGCTCACCTAAGATGAGTCTGCATACAATAAAGAAACCCGCTGGACTTCAAGGGCCAGCACCTCCCCAACCCCTTTTCCTTTTACAAAATTAATGATGATGAAAGATCTTTCCCATTGCCTTTTATTCTTTGTACTATCTTGCTATATCTGAATTCAACTCCCCAACAAATCAACATTTGCCACTTGTCACTCTCCCATATACCCAATACCACCCACCATCACGCATATAACCTGACCTTAGTCCCTCATCCCCTTTTTTACACCTTTATTTTTCTTCCCATATACTAAAGTGTTGTTGGTCTCATCAAGCGCCCACTGATTGTCCAGATTTTATGTATATGATAATTACTGGAATTTATATACGGATTATATAACCTTAAAACAAATTTATTCAATTCTTGTTTACATGTCTCCACTTAGCATCCATAGCAGTTGATTTTCATTTAATGTACAATAAAGATTTAAAAAATGATGAAAACTGCTAGATGTCATTAATAAGAAATAGTAATTCTCCCCTTCTATTACTACAACCTGATACAGACAAGCATAGAAAGGACATCCAATCAAAATTTAGTTGTTATCTACGGGCCACAAATTTATGAGATGAGCAAGAAAAAAAACATTGGTATTGCAATAATATACCATATTTGATTCATATCAGATATGATAAGTAGTATAGTTTCTTTACAAACCCAATCTATGACTTAAATGTTACTGAGCTTCAATACCCCCAAACCAAGATGCAATGTGTTCTATTTATCCTCTCAAAGAATCCAATATCAAGAACCACTAAATTAGATACGATTTAACTCTATTAGCATAAAGCATAAAATTGATAAAATATTATCTAAGCCAAGCATTTAGCATCCCTCTTCTCCAACAATAGCAAATAAATCAAGATGCGTTCGAAGTCAAGGCCCATAATAACTAACTCAAAGAATATCATGACATGAATCCAAAAAATTTAAATTACAACGACAAGCCAAGGAAAGCAAAGAAGAGGCAGAGTTGACAGAATCCAAGCACACCTACTTAATCTAGTTGGGAAAATTACATTCATAGAGAAATAAATAAATAAAAAGGAAGCTACTGACAAGGGTAGGGGAAAAAAGAAAACCAAAGCCAATTTTGATCTAGGCACCACTAGCATGTTTACCCTGCTTTTCAGAACAAAGGTGTATAAAAGCGACCTACAAGATTGAAGACATTTACAATTTTTAATAACTGTAACAAATTCATCTTTAGGTGATAATAGGGAATGGACCATCCCACCTACATGCTATCGATAACATGTACTAAAACCTTCCCTTAGAAAAGTTCTTCATTCAACACAATAGCTAAACCGAACTTGTGCCTTCTCCATGTAACCAACATTGGAAGAAAAATTCTTTAATTCTTACCTGAGAGGTTTCCTGAACTGGCCATGGTAGAAGAGGGGCAAAAACACACCAGAACCATCTCACTGACTAATTTCCTAAGACGATGTATAGCACTAAGCTAAAGAGAACCCCAATTGCATCCTAGCAAGTCCTCTTGAAATGAGCAATGAAGGATAGTGGAGTGAAGCATGACTCTCAGTGCAAAACATGAGAACAAAACAAACAAAGAACATTTAGCAGTGTTTTCATCTTAAAGATTTTTTCTTTAAATCACATTATATATTTTATTCATTATTTCGCCTTAGTGAATAAGCATACCAGTTGACACAACTGATAAACAACAAAAACTCGTCAGGTCACGAAGATTGGCAGCTAGTTCTGTTCATAATACAACAAAATTTTACCTGAACATAGGGCCTCTGTAGACTGAAGGACCAGGACAAGTTGCTGATTGGAGATAACATGCACTATGGATGTCAAACTCAGATCTGCCACCATCCATCTCACTAACTCCACAATCAAAATGCAACATCGAGCTCAACCCTGGCTTTTTTACACATACTTTCATCAAAACTTCCCTTGGAAAAATACCCTCTCTTGCAAAGGTATCTGGCCCCAGCATAGCTGAAACCGCAATTTCCTCTCCTGACTCACATTTCCTCCGCAAAACCACATCTTGGGACTGTGGTGCATCATATTCCAGCGTAAAACCCCCCACGGGACCATTTTGAATATCCTGCAAATACAATGACAAATATATAAATAAGAAAACGATCAAGAATTCTTGAATTATTTACAAAAGACAGACCAGTTTCACTCTCTATGTAGTGGCTAGATGGTCCAAGGTTCAAATGTAGAAGGCTTAGCCAAGTTGAGTATGACAAAATTACTACCACCACATCCATAAAGGAATCTTGCATATGAATTCATTTTCCTTCATATATAATTAAATTCCATATATAATTAAATTCCATATCGGTTATAATTCTAACCATCAAAAGGAAGTCTTTCCCACTTATGTAACTGAGAAGATGTAACTAGGGTAATTATCATTAACGTTCATCATGAAACTCCACTCAAAATACTGGGATTTGTTTCAAACAAATTCCTCCGTTACTTGTCAGATACCTGAATATATGACATTAAAATATAGGAAACAAATTTGGACAATTTTTATTATGAGTACAGTGGATATTTATGCTCCATTTTGAACATAAGCTTTTAGTATCATAATAAAAACAAAAAAAAAATTGCCCCCTTACTTATCCCACATGAAGCAAACAAGTTCCATTTCATTCATCAAGTAAGATATTTACAATTATCATTTCACGATAAATAATGAACCCATCTTTAAAATTATAAATTGGTAGAAGATTTTGAAAAAAAAAAAAACCTGAAAGCGTTTGAAGGAGAGCTCGTGCGTAATCTCAGACTGCAAGACTTTAAGCAAATTTAGATCCGCAGGAGCTTTGCGTCCTTTACTCAATATTCTTGTCGCTCTAACCATTTTCAAGCTTACTAAGCTCCTCTTTTCCAACTTAACGGTTCCCTGCCTTCGAGATTTTCTATTTTTCCTAACGAGTTTTAGAGTAATGACGGGTATCGTTTGGGTCTCCACTAGTAATTTAGTTGATCAATTATCAACTGGGATGTAAACTAGCATTAACTGTGTTATTTATTTCAAAGAGTACGTCTTATATAAATAAAGAATATTTTTAATATTTTTATTGATTTTTAAATATAAAGAGTAAATATTTTATTCAAATGTAATAGAATCCTGAAATTTTCTTTAAATTTTAGGAAAGAGAATATATTTTTTCAAGAAAAAAACTTAATAGAAAAGATAAATTATAAATAAAGGTATAAAAATTTGTAATTTATTATTTAAAATTAAGATAAAGAGCATCTTCAATGATGCTCTTTATTTTAAAGAACATTTTTCATATAAATAAAGAGTATCTTTAATAATTTTAAAATATAAAGAATACAATTTTTATTTAAATCTAATATACTCTTTAAATTTAACGAAGATGCTCTTTATTTTTAAGAAAAAGATTTTAATGAGAGAGATAATTAATAAATAAAATGCATAAAAACTTATAGTTTATTAATTAAAATTAGGATAGAGAGTGAACTCACTCGCTAATTTATATTTTAAAGATAAAGAATCTATTGGACTCTTATTTTCATCGATAAACTCTTTATAATAAAGAGTTTGAGTCATATAAAAAATCATTTGAAGATGTTCATAAACTCTTTATTATAAAGAGTTTATTCATAAAAATAAGAGTGCAACAGATTCTTTATCTTTAAAATATAAATTAGAGAGTAAATTTGACTCTCCACATTTAGAGAGTCAAATTTCACTCTCTATCCTAATTTTAATTAATAAACTACAAGTTTTTATATATTTTATTTATTAATTCTCTCTCCCATTAAGTCTCTTTCTTAAAAATAAAGAGCATCTTCATTAAATTTAAAATGTTTATTGGATTTGAATAAAAATTGTATTATTTATATTTTAAAATTAATGAAGATGCTCTTCAAAATAAAGAANAGTAATGTCACTTAACCCCGAACCAAACTGACCCTTAGTAGTTAGAATAAAACTACACATACAAAACGGGTTCATATCCGCAGGTGGATTCGTACCCTACCCGTTTTATTTTACACATACTCGGCCCAACCTGTTTATTTTACGGGTGGGCCGGTATACCCACAGATACCCGAAGAAAAAACAAAAATCCCAAAATCTAATTCAATTCGTAACCACTCTCAACTCAAGTCTCCACCTTCGACCTAACATCTCTCCTCATTCTCCGTCGCCGCCGAGGAAGTTGGTTAAGACTCTTGTCTCTTATTTTTTTGTGTTTTTTATTTGTTGTCCAGATTCTTCTGTTTTTGTTTACTGAATATAGTGAATAGATTTAGCTTGAAGAATTAGTCTGTGTGTTAAACCCTGTGGTTTGCTCCCACAAGGTTTGGACTTTGATTCATTGTGGAATCTACCTTTTGACAGATTATAGGCTACCTTTTAAAAGATTTTAGGTTTTGACATTGGCCCTAGTTTCAGACTTGAGTTTGCTAAGCGGGTTAATGGGATTTTCAGTTTAGAGAAAATAACGATGAGATTAGTGATTTCATCAAAATGTTATGAACTCACTTTTCTTTAGCGGATTGTTTCAGGCATTGTTGCTAGGGTAAGTTACCTACCCTGAGGTTTCACAAAAATCTTAGTTACACACGTGTGGTAGTGAAAATCAGCTGAGACTTGGCTCCACGTTTTCATAAATTGTCACTCACCTCCCCTCACCTATGTTTTCTAAGAGAAATGATTGACGGAAGTTGTAAAAGTGCTATTTTGCCCTTTTGAAAAAAGAAAAAAAGAAAAAAGAAGAAGAAAACATATAGGTATAGCCGACATAGGCCAGTGGCGCAACCAACAAAGTGCTGGCCTCAATTTGGCCTAGCATGGTCAGATTGGAGCCATGTTAACCACACCTAGCATGGCGTTTATTTGGGCACATTGGCCCATATCGATCGATGGAGAAAACTGATTGATCTGGGCTGGCCTGGCCAGATCGACGCCATGGCAGCTTGACATGGCCTCAATCGGGCCGTGTTAGGCCAGATTGAGGCTAGTGGAGCTAGCCTCTATTGCCTATGCTGCCATAAACCCAATTTTACTTAAACAAAGTAGCCACCGCGCCTACTGCTGAGTTCGTGTTTGAAGAAAGTTGTGTACCTGAGTTTTGGCGTTTTAATTTTTTTTTTTTTTTTAAGAAAATATCTCCACCACCTCCTTCCTTCTCAGCCACCGGAAGCTCCACCACTCTCCTCACCGTGGCACTTCACTCCCATCCCTCTCCCACGCAAATCGCAGTAGCCCATCCCTTTCTTTGTAACGTCCCCCAAACCTGATGGTCTTCTCCTTTCCTCTTCTCATCTTAATTTCCGCTCCTCTGTCGCCGCCTCCAGAACCACCTAAACCAAAGCCTCTCTCTGTCCTCCTAAATCCCTCTCCTTCCTCTCTCATCCTTCAAACATTCCTTCCCCACAACGATTAAAGCCTCTCATTCTTTATTTTTCCATCAAATCAACCAAAATCCAACAAATCTCCGCCGCCATTTCTCTTGACAATCTTCACAACACCACCACAGTCGGAAAAAGCCGATCCTTTTCGTCGTCCCTGACCTTCACACCCAAGTGCTCTCAAAGCACCTCCCGGTTTTGTCGAAAAGTTTATCGAGCTCAAGGCCATAGGCGCTCTCTAGCCACTTTTTAATACCGCATGTGTAAACAAAACAGATGGGTTTTTTAATGTATTTTTTATTCTCACTTGCTGCTGGCCGCACTCCAAGTTAGAGGACTCTAACATAAGTTCATAACCGACCAATCTTCACTTGGCTGTTGCCGCCGCTGTTATTCCTGTCAAGATATTGTTCCCGTCGGTACCCTCCTCTGACATTGTCAATTGTCGGCCGTCAGCCTAATACGTAGTTCTTTTTTTTTTTTTTTTTTTTTGGGTTTCTTAAGAAAAAAATTGGATTAAATTTGTTTTAGGTTTTTGAGAAATCAGATTCTGTTATAAATTTAAGGGTGTTAGAATGAGATTAAAATTTATTTTCTTACTTTTTTTTTTTTTTATGTGAATTGATTCATTGGAAATATACAATTGGTAATTTGAATACATTAAGCATATTATCCGATCGTCCCTTCTTGAATTTTGAATTTTTATTTTTTAGATTTTCGTCAAGCAGTTTAAAACTCCAATGAATTCAAATGCTTTGCCTAGTAACTTCATCCAATGATCAAAAAGCCGCAAGTTTTACATTTTTTGCCAAAACTTCATAAAGAAAACTTTGAGTCAATTCCCGATCTGTTGCTTGTTCATTGACCGGCATTTCTCCAATTACAAATCTCTGTTGTTACAAAATCAAATTTTATGTTTATTGTTCAGATGATTGGTACAATGCAAGAAAACGTCTATGAAACTTGTTCAGAAGAAATCAGCGATGATGCCGACCAAAATGATGATGAAGAAGATTATTGTATGGGTTCTATATCCAAGTTACAATTCAGGTACGAAAATTATCTCTTCATTACAAAATTAGTTTTAGAATCAATCTGATTGCTTTCATGCAATTTGTTTCCAGGAAAGATATTTCTATGGCTCGTTGGAATGATGAATTAGGGATGGCTGAGGTTGTGGAAAAGAAGGGTAAGATGTGGACAACAACAGCAATTATTCGGAATGGCAAGACGTATTGCTTAATTGAGGAGACTTTGTAGGTCAAACTCTTGTTATTGTTTGCTTGCAAGTTAGTGTTACAAGTTTGCTTTATAGATTGTATATGTGGTCATGGATACAGAATTCGATGTTACCTACTGGCTGACTAACTATTTAAGAAAATGGCTAAAGGCTTAGTAGAATTATAGGATTGTTCTTTAGAAGCAGTTTTCAAATGAAAACTATTTTGTAAAGTACCCTTTTTTTTGTTTTCTTTTTCTTATAGGAAACATAGAGAATACTTAAAATTGCTTGTTGAAAAATCCTATCAAATACTCTTTCTGAATGAATCTATTTGAGAAGTTTATTTTTACTTAAAACATTTATTTTTACTTAAAACATAGTTGCTTTAAAAAAAAAAATTATCAAGTGCTTCTTTAAGAAGTACACTCAATGCTTTTATGATATACTATATATTTGTCAGAAGAGCTCTTTGAAATATAAGTCTTCCAATGCATACAAATAGTAAGTGAAGAGTAGCATAATTTAGTAACAAACAACAAAAAAGTTAGTTGGTATGGAATAATTTAGAATCAGAAGTACTAATTACAACTGATGCCTTTTATCTTACCATGTCAGATATTCTGGTTGGCTTAGTAAACTTTTAACTTTTTCCTTGCAGGTTTTTGGCTGAAATTGGGGCATTGCATCTGTTGGATGATAATGATTCGAGTCTTCCTTTAAAATATATATATGAGAAGGTTGCAAAAGAGAAGAATGGATGTTCTTGGGAGCTTTTTGAGGTTTATAGGCACCTAAAATATCTTGGTTACATAGTGGGGCGACATGGTGTTCCCTGGACTATGAAAATCAATAAAGGTAAAAATGTTGACATCATCAGGGACTCTGTTTCTCTTCAGGGCACTCAAGAAAGAAATGAAGATATGGATTTCGAATCAAGGAAAGCTGGTTCTATTATTGATTTATTCAGTAATTTACAGATTAATGAAATGGGGCCAGTTTTTGATGTTTATCTTCCAAATAGAAAGTTTAAAAAGTCTTGTCCTGGTGATCCAAGCTTTGTGCTATACTTAACGAGGTAAATATATATTGGTGATTTTTAAGAGCTTGAATGAGTGTTTTGGAAGTGGTGAATGAATGAGAAATATTTTATGTTGCATTTCTGAATTTTCATCAGTTTCCCCTAAAAAATTCTGTTAACCAGGTACATTTCTGCCCTGTTTTATGGCAGAGAAAATAAAGATGTTTGAGAAGCATGTTTATCATGAACCAAAAAAATAAATATATGTGACAATCTATGTGCTAACCTACTAGGTCATCAACATCTAAAGGACTTTACTCATTGTGGCATTAACGTTGTTTGTACTGTTTTAGTTTTGAAAAATATTTGCATAAAATACACAACATCTTGTTTTTCAACTTCAAAAGCTTGTCAAGTTTCATTTTGAGGAGGCACACTAAGCGAATCCTTTGTCGACTTTGTTAGAAATCATTCCATTAGAGCATATTTGAATTATGGATTATCAAACTGTAATTTTACCTATGAAGATTTACATCCCTTATTTTGTTAAAATTGATGAGAAAATAATTTTCTTTTTAATTTGTGATATCTGTATCCTGCATAATGAGAATTAGAACTGGCTTCAAAAGATTATACTTGCTTGTGTGAGAATTTAATATCTTCTTTTTCATGAGAAGTTTTTCAATTGGTTCAACACTTATTTTATCATTCATGTGAAGATGGAGGACAATAATGTTCTTCATTTGGCTTTTTTGCTCACTCTTGCATTTTGAGTTGTGCACAAGTGTTTACTTGCTTGGAAATTTGGACTGCTATATATTCATTTAAAAACATGCATTTCTAGAGCTTTATATGGGGAAGGCTTGTGTAATTACTACCCATTGATCTTACATGGAAAGCATATGAATCTGCAAGAATTTTTTACTTTTATTGACAAACCCTTTGAGTTTGGATGTTGAATCATATAGCTTCGTTTTCTTAGATGGGTAATTGGTTTTGAAAAAAAAAAAAAAATATATAAATAAGATAATGTGCATTATTGTTACTGTCATATGTTAAAGTACTTAGTTTAACATTTAATTAAAATAAGGCTGTTTTTTACTGCCTGTTTTCTGAAATTGACATCTGGAAACTAAAGGAGGAAGTACATACGTGTTTAGGAAAAATGTAAGATCTTTATTCAAGAAGCCATCTTATGCTGCAAGTGAAGGTATCATTAGTTGTCAATTTGCGTTGAGCTTTAGGATACATCTTTACTAGTTCTTACTGATTTCTTACAGAAGCATGTTGATTTATTGCTTAATAAGTTTTACATGTCCAATCATTTTAATCTTTTCCTTGACTTGTCTTCTCGATTAGGGTTTGTCCACCATCCAAAGCCGAAATTGAAGTTCTTGAGAGACAGTGTGGCAGCATTCCACTGAAGTTTTGTCATGTGGAGCATGGTCAAGTCAGTTTTTTTTCCTTTGATAGGGTGGAGCTTCCCATTTTGCCTTGACTTTTCGTTTGCTGCAGTGTTGAGCTGCTACATGAAACGAAATCACTAGCTCAAGCGATTCTTGAGTAGAGTGCTGCGGTAGATTGTTATTTTTGTCCTTAAAATTTGTACATATTTATGGCTGTTGTGGACCTGATCTCTGTTTTAAAAACCGGATCGGTTGGACCGGGACCTGGGGCCTTCTTCGGGTCGGTTCACTCTTTTTAACTATTTGAAGTTTAAAATAGAACAAACGCACCCTTGATTATAACCATCAGTCCCTGAAGGTTTCAAATCTAGCAAACACATCCTCTGGCCAAATGCAAATCGGCAATGACCTCCCCTTTTCCGGCGACCTTCCACCTTCCCTTACTGTCGGAAACCACCTTCTGAGTTCTGACTTTCTCCGGCGTTGTCACGCTTCATCTCCAGCAATCCAGTTGCCGCGAGATTTTTCTTCCATTTCCCAGCGTCGATCGGCCTTCTCCGGAATCGACAGGCTTCCTCAGCCACCGATCTACCTTCTCCCAAGCTCCCTTGTCGTCGTTCACGAAGATCCAGTCATCTCACCAAAAAAAGCAACCGCGACTAGTGACTTTCCCACCGATCTGCCATTTTCGGGCGATGCCTCTACTTGCTAGCTGCTGATTCGCCCTTCCCATCATCCGATCTACCCTCCTTGGTGTGTCGCCGCTGCTCTCCCAATCGATCGTCGATTTGCATTTGGTCAGGGTTGTGTTTGTTAGATTTCAAACCTTAGGGTTTGATGGTAATTATTAGGGGTGTTTTTGTTAGATTTTAAACCTATCAAACCATCGGTTCAACCGGCGGTCCAACCGGTTGGACCGGTTGAACCGTGACCTGGCCATCAGAGCGGTTTGCCCTCCGGTCCGGTTTTTAAAACAATGGACCTGATTGGCATCTGTGTATACAGTTTCACCTCATCTATACATAGGTGAAATTTCTTCTCCATGTTCTTTAATTTATATTTGGGTTGTTTATTCAAATTTCAAAATGAATACAAAGTTGTAGCACGGAGAAGTTTTGTTGACCTAGAAAAGAGTTATTACCCTCATTAAAGCTCACCTTTCATCTTTTGTACCATCATATTTTTTATTTTGTTGTAAATAAAAATTGGGAGATGAAAAACAATTAGGTGCTTATTCAAAAATCTTGTGCTAATTTAATCTTATGCTTTGAAACATTTGAATTCTGGCTTTAGTGACTTTCTTATAAGGGTTTCAGATTCTTTATCAGATTTCTTAGAAGTTCAAATACGCAAGTGTTGATTGTTGGCAAGAACAGCATTATATTTATTAAAAATTAAAGTAAAAAGGAGTTTCCTTTTTGGATTTTTCCAAAGGAAGAATTAGAGGAGTGAATGTAAAGCATGATCAAATTTTATGGTAAAATTAAGATAACTGCGGCTATAGGTGAGAATATATAAACAATATACTGGGGAAGAGTCTGAGTTTCTTGTATGTGATTTTTGGATTGTTGCTAATGGATGAACCCGGGGAATGAGATCTTGTATTCATTTTGCCAATGAGGTAAGTTTGAAAACTGATTGTATATCGTCAAAACATTATAACTAGAAATAGATGAAATGCGTTGAAATGTTTAGTTTTCAGCTGGTGCACAGCTTTTTCTTTTAAATTACTTCTTTTTGAACTAAATTAATTCAGTTCACTGATCAGTTGGTTAAAATGCAGTTGAGAGAGTGAGTACTGGTTATTTGGCATATTTCTCTGTTTCATAGGCTTCTTGATTTTTTATATAGCTGACTAATCAGTTGGAGGACTACTTTTTGTTTCAGTAATCCATCCTGAAAATGATCCTATATCTGGTTACTGTTTTGGTAAGTGTTTGTGAATTTTAGCAGTCGGAGCATAATTTCAGTGAAGTTTCAAAACATGATTACTCACAAGCGTCAGTTATAAAGCTTAATTGAAAAACATCAAAGTTACACTATATGATTGCTACTTCAGTTATAGTAAAGACTTTTGCTTAATATTCCATTCATTTACTAAACATTATCAGTTGCTGTCCCAAATCTATCTAGTGATATGAGCAATAAAAGATTCCAACTCCAGGCTAGCAACTCCACCTTTAGCAACAGATTTCTGCATGCACTCTCTCAGTTCATTGGCCCTTCGCCTCATCTCATCCCCTTCCTCCGACACCATCAACCTTCTAACAGCTTCTTTAATAGCTGATGATTTGATTATATCCTCACTTTGTGCCCATTCCCCGACCATCAGACCAATTTTAAGCAATTTTGTTATCAGCACAGCATTTTTGGGTTGGTCTGAGTGCATGGGCCATGCTGCCATTGGGACACCCATGCTAATGCTCTCCAAGTATGAGTTCCAGCCACAGTGACTCATGAAACCGCCAGTGGAAGAGTGCCCCAAAATGTCCAGTTGGGGTGCCCAATCTCTTACAATCATTCCAACTCCTTCCATTGTTACCTCAAACCCTTCTGGAAGTTCCATTCTCCTACATTTTTCTGTGAAAATATCACCTTTATCTGCATCTCTCAGTACCCATATGAACTTAGGATCGCTTTGTTCGAAACCAGTAGCAATCTCTTCTATCTGTTCATCTGTCATTGAATTTGTGGTCCCAGAAGATATGTAGATAACAGAGTTTGGTTCTTGTTTGTCTAGGCAGTTCAAGCATTTATCTAGGCTATTTGAGTTCCTGTACTTGCAGACTGCTACCGGGTTTAATGGTCGGATTGCCCATTGCTTTTTGTCTCCATTTATCTGTTCTAGAAGATCAATCTAAGTATGTTCTATTGATTTGCTTGTGATGTGGAGATCTCCAGCTCTAATTTTCAGGAATTCTACTTGATAAGCAATGCAATTCATGATTTATATTGTTATGAAAACTCGCAACAACAAGAGATACCCAGTTGATCGCAACAGGATTGGATAGGATGTGTACGTGATTATAAATAACCAGCTAGGAATAGATTGAAGAATCCGTAATGTGAAAACACAAGCCTACGTCCACTGTTATCTTATTACTTATACTCGGATTACACACAAGGTGATTACAAGAAGATCATGCGTAATAACGAGCTAAGACTCTCTCTAAGTGATTTCCTGTGTTTGTGTGAATAATCCATCTTCCAAAATGGAGGTGGTGCCCTCCTTTTATACACACCGTCAAATAGTGGTTGGGGGTTAGTATTACAGGGTGGATAGCACGCATAATCCCCCTGATCTGAGTTAGCCCCTGCCTATGCTTAAGTCTGAACACCAATGCTTAATACTGATGAGCTTGTTGGTGAAGTCACCTGATATTGGAGCGACATGTGGGACGGTATGGTATATAGACAAGTGGCACAAATCTGGCCGTCGAAAAATCATGCAAAACAATTTCGAAGGTGAAACAACCTTCAAGAGATGGAGGGTTGTTTGGTATTTCAGCTTCAACTTGGAAAGGCCTTCCTAAAGCTTCCCGTAGATTGAAGAACTGAGTGAAGGCATAGATGCCATGGAAAGCATAGGTTTCTGCATTAAGTATAGAAGCAGCATCCTGAGCAACTGATGCCATCAGAGCATCATGGATGATCACTATTCTATTTGCTTTGGGAGAGAGCTTATGTAATGGTACTGCAATGGGCTGGCGAAGGTGAAAAGAGGCATCCAAAGATGGCTGGAGATGAATAGGAAACTTGACGGATGCATGAGGATGGGGCGTACGTAGGGGAGGCGAAAGGAGGAATCGGGAAGTCATGGAATTGGATTCGGTTGATATCAAGAGGATTGATGCCATGTACACGAACCTTAGCCTGGCGATTATGAATGGTAGAGCATACGTAATGAACTAGGACGTTATGGGATAAAATGAGGAAAGATAATTTCAAGAAGCTGGTTGAACTGGCTTTGTGCTGGACAGGGCACCATAATCACTATAACCGGAACTTGTTTGACGCCATTTTCGTTGTGTTTTTGAAAGTTTTGGCTATCCATTGCTGCTAAGTTTACTTATGGGAGCATCTGCTTGTCAGCTTATTGATATCAGGACAATGTTCAGCTTCCTTTATTGGATTTAAAAAAGGCTTTTGGTTCGGTTAACTTCGTGGTCAGCCTTTAGAAGTTCCTTTCCTGCTTCCTTGCTCAATTTTAGATTTTTTTACTTTAAACTTCTTGTTGATTTAACTTTGTCCTATATACTATAAAATTGGTTTCTAAAATGATATTGGAGAGTAATTAAAATGAGGAAGTTTATGAAGTAATTTTTGTAATTAAAAACTCATTGACTTGATTGTTGAAATTAGTGTCATCAATCAGGTATGGCTTCCTCTTTTATGAGATAACGAGAAGAAATTAGAAGCCATGATTTCTCATTATTAAATAACTTAAAATTTGCCAGTCTAACATCTAGTTGATTTGATCCACACCCCAATTGTGCTTATCCTTATTTTGCATACGGATTCGATGTCTAATCACCCATTTTCTAAAAGGGGTAACTTCATAAATCACCTTTGAATGTTTAAAAATTATCGGCTAAAGTGTTAAGTATTGTTATACTATTCAAAACCATTCCTGACATTTCATAAAAGTATTTAAATACCAGTATTTTTGTACCTTTATTTTAACATATTTATTGAAAATCGTTAAGTTAAATTATAAATTATAAGGTAAAATTCCATAATATTATGTTAAATTGAATTATATTTTTATCTTTTACAATATTAAAAATTAAATCTAATTTTTATTTATTTATTTACTTATTTTCTTTTCTCCTCTCTTCTTCCTCCTCATTTCTATTTCTGTTCTTCAAAACCCTAAATATTTTAACATTGTGGATCAAATGGTGGTAGAATTATCAGCTGAGCATGGCATCGTCACATGTCGTTCGGCTTTGTGGCACAACAATTCATTTGTTTCATTGGTGTTTGAACATCGTGGAGTGTGGACAGTGGTGGATCTAGGATTTATGTCTATGGGGGGCCTCCGCCGCTCCGCCATTATTTGCCAAATAACTAGTGAAAACTTTAAAAAATCATCAAACCTTAATAAAAAAAAAAAAATTACAATATTAAGAACCTGAGAAAAAAGAATATACAATAACATAATATTTTCTTACTTGAATAAATCTATGAGAAGCAAAATTTTGAGTAAAAGTGTTGAGTAAACCTTGAACAAAACCTTCTTTTAATATTTTTATTTTTGGCTTTCAAAGATTATAATATAAATTTTTATAGCGTTAATCAAACCTATCCTAATTAAACTAAAATCAACTAAAACTTAAATCAAGTCAATGTTGCGTTGACTTTTAATATGAATTAATAAAAGAGGGAAAATTTTTTTAGTATAAATATAGATGGTAACTCAAATTTCTTTAATAATTTTGAACAACTGAACGGTGACGTTTAAAATGTAGAAAAGTGGTGGATGAAAGGTGAAGAATAACGTCCTTTAAAATATAGTTAAAGGTTTTAATTTGAGAAAACAGATTCATTCTTAGACAGAAAATACAAAATAAACTCACAAGATTAATATCTTTTTTTCTCAAATTAGAATAAAAAACCTAAAAAAGAAAAATAATAATTCAATCCTTATATATATTAAATTGAAATGAACAATAAGCATACCTAAAATCTATAAAATAGAAAACAGAGCAAATTATGACACTTTGAGTAGTGAAAATTTAATAATTTCAGTCTTCAAAAATTTTAAGAGCGAATAACATGAGAAAGAGAAAGAGAGAGCAAAGAATTTGAGGATAAAATCATAAAAAACAGGTAAAGTCGTATAGAAAAACACTGAAGAGAGTTTTAAACTTTTAATATGATGTGGGCTTGGAGTATATATATATATATATAAAACAAGTTTTTTTTTTTTTGTAGACCTAGATATATAGTATGTATAATAGTTCTTCTTTTTTAAAAATTTGAAGGTGGGTCTGGGTATATATGTTAATTAACAATTTTTTATTTCCTGTATATTAATAATTTTTTTTTTTCAAATTTGGGCCTACCCTCAAAGGGGCTAAATCCGCCCCTGAGTGTGGACAAAATGGTGTTTGCTTTTAATTGCTTTGTTTTAGTGGATTTGATTGTTGTGTTTAAATGAAAATACACTTAACATTAAATGATTATATATTTATATTTTATTACACAATCAAATCCATTAAAGATAATTAGATCCCACCATAACTTATTGGGGATACACTGATAGATCCAGAAAATTTGTTTAGGGTGGGCCAAAATGAAAACTAATTACATATTAATATTTTTATCCATTAATATTTTTGTTAGGGTGGGTCAAAATCCAAAATTATATATATTAATATTTAAAAAAAAAATTTGAGGCCCACCCAAAAGTGGGCTGGATCCGCCCCTGGTGGGATAATATCTCAACTCACACTTCTTTATATTCCATAATACAATGGTGTGTTTGAAAGGAGGAATCGAATATTACTTGATATGATTCGATCTATGATGCGTTTTCCTGTTCTACCGCATTGTTTTGGAGCTATACCCTAAAGGCTACGACTCACATACTAAATTGTGTATTGTCAAAGTTTGTAGACAATAATTGGGAAGACCTACTTGCATGTTGCTGCGCACAGCAGGTTGTGCCTCATGGACCAACATGTAATTCTACAAATCTCAAAGGGGTAAAATTTATTTTACTTGGTCTATTTTGTTGGGATATCGCCGTGATTGCACAACAGAATGAAACAAAAATTCTCGATGATTCTCACAAAAACCAAAAATCAGGGAGTAGATTAGATGTGTTTACATGCAAAACAAAACCATACAAGATTTAGTTTTATACCTCCGTTGGCGGCTCCTTCTCTTTGATCTTTGAATGTTTTCGCAAATAGATTCAAGGATAGAATCGAACTCACAGTATCCACACGAAAGCACCTAAAAAGAGACAAGAAAAATCTACTATTGGATTGATTAAATGCGGTCTAGAAATTTCGTAAACAGGAGCGACTATGTGTATTGTTTCATTGTAATAGTGACAGTGCACATACCAAGAATTATGTGTTATTTTAGTCCTTGAGTCAAGTGTCCTTTTATAGGCACACTTGACCTAACCCTAATCCACATAGGAATAGGATTATGCTTATTCCTTAGAGGAATAGGTTTATCATGTGTTTTATATGTAATTTTGCTAATCCTATTCCAAGAAGGAATAAACATAGGCGACAACCTCAGCAAACTTACCAAAACACCCTTTATACCCAAAATGACCAAAATGCCCCTTTCACTGAAATTCTCAAACCATTTTCTTGACTCAGTTTATTAAAGAGATTTAAATTTTCATCACCAATCCCTTAAATTATGCAACATCAAAATTTTAGTAACATGACAATCCACTTTATAAACATCAAGGCTTTGGTATTCTACATCCTAATGTGTGTGACTTGTAGACTCCTTAGCATGTTGGCAGTGAATGGAATCGTGATTGACATCAATCAATTATCTCTCTGCACACATACCAAGATTGGTCTCTAGCAAGACATCATTGCCACCTAACAAATAGAGATTCAGGAAAAACTATAACATGTCAACAGTATGGTTACTGTGCAATTAAATCCTTTCATCACTTGTTATCTCATCAAGGCTGAGGTATAGAAGTAGTGTCATCCTCAGATATGTCTTTGATATGTTGGTGTTTGGTTTTGGACCAACAAGCAAACTAAATTGGATTAAGTGACAACTCAATCCCACAACTTCCTAGTTGTTGCCATTTAACCAAACTACGTGGTGAGATAACTTCTCTTATAACTAGAGTGATGAATTCTTTGTTGATCCACCATAGTCTCAATATACTTCTCGATGCAGCCAATCACTATTGTTCTGATAGCCTTAATCAGGACTACTTTGGGCTAGTGTCAAACTACATTGATTGGTATACAAGGCGATCCGGTGATCTCACGTCTAAAGATCACATGTACCACCATCCGTTAGATGATTTATTCCATAAACACTAGGTTTACCATCTATATGGAATCCTCTGGTGGGTTATATCCAGTGAACTTGCTTTTGACAAGCACTTATGTGTTGTACCAGATTGTCATCAAACAACCTTTATATGTGAGATCTGTCACTACCTCTCAGTAGGGTTTATTGTATTATCTGTGCCTTTAGTCAGAATAATATTGAGGCTATGAACATTTCTAGAATGACCACTATATGTGCACATAGGATCCTTACAATCAAGACTTAAAACACTTGATATGCTCGTCATGGTTCCACCATTCTAAGGACACATATATCATAACGTAAGTAAACAAATTCCATGATATAGAAAATTTGCCTTTATTAATGTATAAACATGATGTTCAAAGAGTCAATTACAAGATTATGATTGGCTCTAGGGCACGTATTCTAACATATTCAAAATTGCTGTTTTGAATGTATGCTATGTCTTGATGTATGACTAAGCATGGTGCCCAGTACATGAGCTTTTAACCTATGGATGTATTTAAATCTTTTGGGTATGTATGGTTGTAATTTTAATTTAATTAAAAAGGCATGCGTGTCCTGCCTTTCTCTCTATCTTTTCGATGTACATTTTCTTTTCATCTCACTCCCCTTGAATGTAACTCGAGGTTTCTAAATTTATTAATGTAAAATTAGCGTAGTTTTAGTTTTATTGTAAATTTGAGAGATGTAATTTGCAATGTACTTGAAGATGGAGCAAGGGAGCTGCGATCATACTTGAAGACTCAAGAAGTTTTTAATACATGACCCTAGATTGACTCACTGGTTCCTCTAGGCTTGAGGAAACCAATATTAGTTAGGCCATGTACCGACAAGTTTATTTTATGCTATAGTATGCATTCTAGGTTGATTATATATTTACATATATGTCAAAATACTACAACAATAAATGGCGGGATCGTTAATGATTAAAACTCCTCAATAAAAGTATATTAAGTTGAAAATAATCCAAAGCCTTTCATCCCTATTTGTTTAATCAAATTGCTATTCATTGAAACCTTGTTTGCCAAAGCGAAAGGTACACTTCTACTAGTGGGAGGTTAAATTTCATTGGAGTTTTCCTTAATAGTGATGGGTTCGACTTAAGTAATACATATCTTGCTTGTTCTCCAAAGCGAAGGTTGAAAGATATTGCATTAGAGACATAGTAGAGAAGTGTATTTATTTGTGTACATGGTGACATGTAGTGTCTACTCTACTGATACTAAGAATTGCACTTGAGGATGATGGTTGGTGCCATTGAATTGTACAATTGGTTTGTTGGCTTAACTTACATTTGAGGTTGTTGGTCGACTAGTGTAAATTAAGTTTGCTGACCTACCAAATCAACATATTTTGGCTTGTTCACCAAAGCTAAAGTTTGAAATGGGCAAGATGGGTTCTCGCTCCACTAGGTTGACCAACGAGCCTTCTCGAGTTTAATAGTGAGAGCTATTAGCTTGAGTGAAATAGTGGGAACATTTATTTGATTAAAGACCTAATTAAATAAATTTATAAACATGATAATGACTTTGTTTATTTTGTACTTGTATATTCATAAAGTGAGCAATAACAGCCTATCACTGTGATCGATAACTGAAATAGAAAATAGGGTTGATGGTTCAAATTTCATAGATTGGTATCGAAATCTTAGGATTGTACTTAAGTCTGAAAGGAAATTATATACCATCAATCAATCCGTCTGCTCATCAACTTGATGCCACTCAGGAAGAAAAAGATAGTTATTAAAAGTATCTTAAGGATGTTGACACTGTCCAATGTATTATACTAGCATCGATGACACCTGGATTTCAAAAACAACAAGAAAAGATGGATGTTGCTGCAATTATTATACATCTCAAGGAGCTATTTCAAGAACAAGCTTGTCACGAGAGGTATGAGGTGTCAAAGCAACTATTTAGGATTCGAATGGCAGAGGATGCCTCAGTTAGTCCTCACACGTACTCAAGATGACTGGGTATAAACAGACTTGAGACTTTGGGCTTTGGTTTGGACATTGAGTTGCAAGTTGATTTAATCTTACAGTCCTTACTTGATTCATATTCGTAGTTCATAATGAATTTCAATATGAACGGAATGATGAAGACCCTTGCTAAGCTCCAACTATGTTAGAGACAGTAGAGCAGGACATAAAGAAGTCCAAACCAGTGTAATTAACAAATTGTATGTTGAATGAGCTGGGTTTAGTTAATTTTGAGAAATACATTTAGTTTTTTGTTGAGTTTAATAAATGGGTTTGAAATTAGAAGATGAGATTCCTAGTTTTTTATTTTTTATTTTTTTATGTGGGTTTTGATTTAATCTTGTTTATGTTGACGTATGAGTTAATTAGTTGTTGTTTTAAGTTTGGTTTGATAAATTTTTGTTAGTTATTGAGTTAATTTTGAATGGGTTTAAAGAATTGATGAAACCCTAAGTTGTTGAGATTTGGGGATTTGATTTAATTGTGATATATTGGTTAATTGCTTGATATTTAGAGCTAGATTTGATGAGTTTTCATGGGTTTATGAGTTGAATTTTATTGGGTTAGTAGAAATTGTTTGAAAAACCTAAGTTATAAGCTTTGGGTCTTCGGTTTATAGTAGATGATTTTGATAAATTAAGTTTTAACTGTTGTTTAAGTTGAAGAATTGGAAGGTTTTAAGGTTAGCCCCTGTTAATTCTTGAATTTTGTGTTGGGATTTTTGGATTTGTAATTGCAAATTACAAATTATTTTCTTTTTTCAGTTATGGATAAGTTTGTAATCCAAAGAAAGTTTTCTAATGAGGAACCATCAATTGAAAAAAAAATAAGACATCACGATAGTATTCATAATAAGCCTATGAAATTTAGCTCAAGACAAACATATGTTGAGCTTAACTTGAGTAGCCTTCTTGTAGATCCTAGATTAGGGATTAAAATTTTAGAATAGCATCCTAATGATAGAGACAAAATGAGAAGGGCCTACTTGCAAAAAGGATCTTGCCAACCACACAATCATAATCTTAAAAAGCGAAAAATTGGGAATTTAATGCGTCGTTTTAAACCTAATTGGTATAAAGAATATGCAAATTGGTTGAAGTACAGTGTAGAAAAAAAGGTTGCTTTTTGTTTGTGTTGTTATCTTTCTAGACTTGAGATTGGAAAACAAGCAGGCGATGACTCCTTTATTAGTGAAGGTTCTGATGCTTGGAATAAAAAAGATAGATTGGATATTCATGTTAATGATACTAGTGCTTCTTGCGATATATCTGTGAAAGAGCAAAAGATTGTTTTGTTACGTTATGTTGACAATAAAGGACATGTAGTTGAGAGATTTCTTGGCATTATTCATGTTAATGATTCAAAGGCTTCTTCTCTTAAGCTGTCAATTGATTTATTATTTTCCAAGCATGGATTAAGTATATCAAGGGTAAGAGAGCAAGGTTATTATAGAGCTAGTAACATGAGAGGTGAGTTTAGTGGGTTAAAAAGTTTGATCATGAGGGAGAATGAATCAACATATTATATTCATTGTTTTGCTCATCAACTTCAAATTACTCTTGTTACTATTGCAAAAAACGATGTTCAAGTAAGAAGTATTTTTAACATGTTAGTTGATCTAGTAAAGGTTGTTGGAGCTTTTTGTAAGTGGCGAGATATCTTTCGAGAATGTCAAGTTGCTCATGTCTCTGAAGCATATGCAAATGGTAAACTTACAAGTGGACGTGGACTGAATCAAGAAGCTATGCTTAAAAGAGCAGGAGATACACGTTGGGGTTTACACTATGGTACGCTTGCATCTTTGATTGTTATGTTTCCATCCGTGGTAGATGTTCTTGATTATGTTGTTGATGATGGTTTAGATCCTAAACAAAGAGCTCAAGCTTCTACTTTGTTAAAGTTTATATAGTCTTTTGATTTCATATTTAGCTTACATTTGATGAAGACTCTGTTAGGCATTACAAATGAATTATCAAATGCCTTACAAAGAAAAGATCAAGATATTGCTAATGCAATGAAACTATTGAAGTTATCAAAACAAAGACTACAAATGTTAAGAGATGATGGATGGGATGGTTTGTTAACTAAAGTTTCTTCATTTTGTAAAGAAAACAATATTTTTGACTCAGATATGAATGACAATTTTCAAATGAAAGGGCTATCGCAATGCAAAGTTCATCAAGTTACAAATTTACATCATTATAAGGTGGAATGTTTTTATGCTACCATTAGTTTACAACTCCAAGAGCTTAATAGTCGTTTTAATAAGTTGAATACAAAGTTGCTTCTTTGTGTAGCATTTTTAAGTCCAAATGATTCATTTTATGCTTTTGACATAGAGAAAATCATCCGTCTTTCTCAGTTTTATCCATGTGACTTTTCATCAATAATGGAGCTTGTGTTACTGGACAATCAGTTGTATATTTATATTCTTGATATGTGCTCTAATAATGATTTTTTTGACATTATATGGAACTAGTGCTCTTGCTAAAAGGTTGGTTGAAACAAAGAAGAACATGGTGTATCACTTGGTTTATTTACTTGTGAAATTAATATTGATATTATCTATTGTAACTTGAAGCATTAAAAGAGCATTTTCTGCGATAAAGATTGTGAAAACTCAACTATGAAATCGAATAGGAGATCAATTTTTAAATGATTGTCTTATTACATATATTAAGAGAGAGATATTTGATAGTATTGTCAATGAACCAACTATACAATGTTTTTAGGATATGAAAAATCGTCAAAGAAAGCTATAGAACTGATAATTTGGTATGTATAATTTTTAAAATTAAATTTTTAGATTAAATATTTTTATGTTTATTACTTCAAAATATATTTTATTGTAAATTTATTAACTTAGATCTTTTGAACCCACTAACTAAAAATACTGGCTACGTCCCTGGTCATACTTAAGTGACTTTGGCCATTGGGAGGTGTCATATCTCGAATGTGCAAAATGCCTTTGGCCACACTCCACTGTGTAGCTAACCTCAAGGTTTACCATTTTAAGTGGCATGTGCCACTCTAATGAGAACTTAACTTACTGGTATTTTTTGCGAGATCATGGTTTTGCAACAGACTTTTATTCACACTCCTCTTCTTGGCCAACTCTACCCCTCATGCTGTCAACTTGAGCGTTTGTCCTACTTCAAGGGAACTCGTTGTCGGTGTGCGATCAATAAAGTCTTGGCGTTTTTCTAATGTGCGGCCATCTTCTTCGCCATCCTCTGCTTTGATGTTGACGCTATCCCAGTAAAAGAGTTGGGGCTCTTATCAATCTTATATGACCAAGATTGCTCTGGCTCACGTTACAGGGTTTGTAATGTTAATTTTCCTTGATCAGTCTATAGTGCTTGCTCTCTCAAATCAAGTCTCTGGTGTGCTCAAAGGCTATACTCCCGAACCACAATAAAGTAACATTTTATTGATACTATGCTCAAGAATAAGGAAACATTTATTCATCAAAATCCCGGCCTAAATATTTTGCGGCCAATAGTGACAAACTCTACCAACCATATTTTAAAAAGATCACTAGTAATCTTTTCTCAGCATCTCAACGTTCCAGGGTCGTTTCACTACCTCACCGTTGACGTGGCCTAGCCTGTACGTCCCCGCTCAAATTACCCTTTTGACAGGGTAAGGGTTTGTCTTCCCAGTTATGACCTAATATGCTTTCTGGGAAATCCTGAATGTTTAGGGTGATTTTGTGCAAAACCGAATCTCCTTCAAAGAATTTTCTTGGCTTGACTCTAGCGCCATAGTAGCGAGTAATCTTCTCTTGGTGTGCTATGACTCTGAGAGCTGATTGTGCCTGTCGTTCTTCTAGTAGGTCTATCTCTTAAGAAAGCAGATTTATATTTTCATCCTCACTAAAGTGCTAAGTTCTCAGGTAGGGCAAACCTATTTCGACGGGAATGACAACTTCTGCTCCAAAGGCCAGATCAAAAGGAGTTTCTTTGGTAGTAGTGCTATAAGTGGTTTTATAGGCCTACAAGGCTTGTTGTGGCTCGTCGACCTATGCACATTCAGGGTGTGGTTTATGGCTTTGTTGGTCGCCTGTACTTGCTGGTGTGCTTTAGGATGCGATGGGGAAGATAATTTATGGTCAATTCTAAGTTCTTGGGTAACTGTTTGAATGTGGATATTTTAACTGGTAAGAAATGAGTTTGCTTTATGTTGGAATTGTTTGAATGTGGATATTTTAACTGGTATGAAATGAGTTTGCTTTATGTTGGAATTGTTTGAGTTCTTTTGCTATTTAGTTTACTTTTTGATACTGTGGAAAAATACATTTTATTTCATAGATATGAATTATGATATGTTTTTTTTGGTTGCAATCTTGTTTGTAGAAAAGAAACTAGTTAGAGAAGTTGTTACCACATCCTTTAAACAATAGAAAATTGAGTATTGATGGCAGTGGGTCCACTAGGGTGGTTGGCAGTGGAGCGGCTGGGCATTCACCAACCCCAAACCCACTCTATTCCCCGATTTAATTATATATAAACTATATAAATAATCACACTAAACATAAATGACATTATAATTAAGGAAACCATTACTATATAGTATTAATGTTCTAAATAAAAATAACCATAATGTATTGTAGCAATAGTAAAAAGTAAGAAGTCATAACCAAAACAATTAAGAATAAAAACTAAATTGTTAAATAATTTCTAATGTGTTGTACCATCATTTATTTCCTGGCGTCTTTCTGATTTCTTTTCATGAGAAATCATTAAGACTTCATTCTTTTAAAATGTGAAATAAAAAAATATGCATTAATTATAAAAATTATATTTTATAATAAAAATATTTTATATTTAATTTTATAACGGGGAATAAAGTGTGTTTTGGGGTGGGGAGTGCTAAATCCATCCCCTTTCCATTTCAACATGGGGAATTAATTTGCTCCTCATATCCACCTCATTCCCTAAATTAACCCCCCCACGAGTACCCAAACCGGTGAGGCATTTTCTCATCTCTAAAATTGAGTTAATTAGAATTATTTTCTTGGAGGCATTCGCTAAGTACAAAGCTAGTACCTTGAATAATTGATATAGCAATTTGCCTCTGTTATTACTTATTTATATTGGTATCTTTTCCCTATCTAATTAACACTTGGTCAATTAATTTAAACAATAAAACTTTAACTGAATATCTATAACATGATAAATTTTTATTTCAAACACCTAAATTGAAACATTGTTATTTAGTGATATTTTAGGAGAGAAATTACAATCGTTTTAATCTTTCCATTGTTAATTGAATTCGACCAACGTGAGGCTCGAGAAGGTTAGTTATATATTTTCATAAATGTGCCAATTGATGTAGCACGTTTATATCACTTATCACATGATCTTATCATTAATGTGATGTTGATAAATCAATTGCTATATCACTTAGACACTTATCTTTTAAGAGTGGTATTATTATTTTAACTGTATTTAAATTCAAATTATACACCTCTTAAAAGAAATTAAATGTTTTATGGAACATTCTTTCTAATAAAAATTTATGTGCTTTTAATTATTTATAAATTTTTTATTTAAAAATTAACAATAAGTTTCTATTGAGGTTTAGTTTAATTGGACCGCTTGAATAAAGAATTCTCTTTTTATGAAATTTCAATGAGATGTAAATAAATATTTTTACTTTTCATCCAAAAACTTGAGCTTGTGTAACCTTTTACAAAAATTTACGTCACTATCAACTTTTAAGACCCTAAACATTGAACTTCTCATATTCAAATTTACAATGCATTAAAAAAAAAAAAATAAAAAAATCTTTAGAATTAACAGTAGCACACATGGGCTGGACCAGCATTTATTCAAAGTCATTTTACACTTAAATAGGTCCATTAATTGTGATAGAAATAGTGGAATAATTTTAGACTTTTTATTAATAATAATGTTAGGTTTACAATATTCTCTTACAACTTTTAATATGACAGCTCATCATTAGTTAGCTTGTAAATGGACAAACGAGACGTATACAAGCAGACAAGACTTATTTTATAAGTTGAGCAATGACGAACTACTACATCGAGTTTGTAAGAGAATGTTGTAAGATTGAGTTGTGAACCTAACATTACTCTTTCATTAATGCATGAAAAGCCTAAAATTTATTGACAAATTATAAAGTGTGATCCATGTGATGACATCGACACTCAAATGTTGTAATATAACAGCTCATCATTAGTTAGTAGAAACCTCGTCTAACAAATACACATACTTATGATGTGATCCATGTGATGACATCGACACTCAAATACAAAATTATGGTCCTAAAAAAAATAAATACGCAACATTCATATTAAAACATTCCACGCAACTATATAATATTCATGGGGAAAGATCGCAAGACCATTTTATATAAACCAAACACAATTGAATCACTACATCAAAGCCATTTTGAATCAATGACTAACCATCAAGACAACCAAAACCATAGCCAAAATAGTCTCAGGGTGAATCGACAAGAAGAAGAAGTGGTTGTTGTGATGGTGCCACTTCCAGCTCAAGGCCATCTCAATCAACTCCTCCAACTTGCCCGCCTCATTCTCTCATATAATATTCCCGTTCATTACGTTGGCGCCGCCTCCCACAACCACCAGGCCAAGCTTCGGGTCCAAGGCTGGAACCCTCGCATCTCTTTCAACATCCATTTTCATGACTTTGAAATTCCTCCAATCTTGTCTCCTCTTCTTGACCCCAACGAATAATGCAAATTTCCATCTCATCTACAACCATGTTTCGATGTCTCAAAGCGGCTTCGGGCTCCTCTGGCTCAACTTTTACGTGCGCTTTCTTCACAGGCGAGAAGAGTGATTGTCATTCATGACTCCATGATGGGCTCTGCGATTCAAGAAGTTCGTTTAATCCCCAGTGTAGAAGCTTATTGTTT